GGCCCCCTCCCCGGCAGCACGGCCCCGCCCCATCGTATGGCAGCGAAACCTGGTCCTAGGTGGCTGTCACAGCAGGGGACACGGCGAGGGCTTAGACACATGCTCTGCGCTTGCCAACGCCACGCTGACCATTCTGAAAAAAAACATCCCCAGAAAAACAGGAGATTTAAGGCACTCCCTTTAACACTCTACCTGGCAAGGTGGCCATTTGCACCCAAAGCCATTGACTAAGTGCCGAGAGCCTCAGGTGACGCTCACTGGCCAATAGCGTTGACATAAAATGAGTGTTACGTGACGTGGGTCGTGTATGAATTCACGTGCTCGTCCCCTTCACAAAGGGTAGTTAACTGTGCCTACGTCATCGATTCCCTGGAGAGCGCGCACCTATGGTGGTTCGTTCCCGTCCGTCCGTTTCAGGTGTTCACTGTGAATGTGTCACTGAAGGGAATGGCAAAGGCGACATTTTGGACTTGTAATATCTAAGTAGGAAAATGACGGCGACGTTTGGAGAGACGAGGCCACTCCCCCGCGTCACGCGCTCTTTTCCTCCCCCGCTCAGGTCTCCTCAGGACTCGGGCAGGGAGGGCTCACTTTCCACGGCAACGTGCACGGCCGAGACTTCGGGAGGTTCAAGCTGGAGAGGCAAGGTAAGCAGCACTCGCCCCGCGTTCACGGCGCTGTCCGGTGGGCCTTGTCACCGCGCCCAGGCCTGACGGACACCGGAGGAACCGTGAGCCCAAGAATTGGGAGAGACTACCCTGCTGCAGCGCACGGGAAATACAAAACAGAAACGCTCTTCTCAGTAGCAAAGGAGGCAGCGTGAAGCCGGGAAAGTGTAAGAAACATGCCCGTGCGGAATTTCTGTCCTGCTATCCAGACATGTTAAAAGTGCGGGAAAATAGTAAGGCCGCGACTCAAAGAATTAAGCAAACCGTATCACCCTAGGAAAAGGGTAAGTGACAGTAATTAGACGTGGCCGGCAAGCAACGAGAAGAGCTTCAATTCCAAAACTACGTGCTCTGGACGCACAGAGAGATCACTGTTAGTTACCGAAATGTCAGAGACTTTTTTTAACTTACTGAGGTGACATCGGTTAATAAAATTATATAGGTTTTTAAGTATGCAGGTCCATAATACACAATCTGTATATCGCATAGTGTGCGTTCATCACCCAAAGTCAAAGGCCTATTTCTACCGTCCACCCCAAATCATTTCTTAAAAACCTTTAACATTTTAAAAATGTCAAAGCTTTTAAATGTCAGAGGGTTTTTAAAAGTGATCTGGGCTGCATGGTAGAAACGGGCACTGGGGCTTCTGTCTGGGTGGACGCGCGTATCATCTGGCAATGCTCTCTTCATGGTTTTATCTCTGGAAGTTTTAATCAGACAAATGTGAAAATTGTTCCTTGCCTGTTCAGGTATGTCTAAAAGAGGACTGTTTTTAATAGATGAAATTAGAAATACTCTCTACATTCATGCAACACATCTATCCTAAAGAAATTGCTTAAATGAACACTTATTTGCTGTGTATTAAATAGAAAACAATTTAATTTTTATATTTATTAAAGGAATGAGGATTACATATTGAGGTAGAAAGAAGTTCCTGACTTATAGCCAAGAAAAATCTACTAGAGACGGACAGACAGGCGGACGGGCGGGTGGGCAGGCAGGCAGACAGACGGACAGACAGGCAGGTGGACAGACAGACGGACAGGAAGGTGGACAGACGGACAGGCAGGTGGTCGGGCGGGTGGGCAGGCAGGCAGACGGACAGACAGGCAGGTGGACAGACAGACGGACGGGAAGTGGACAGATGGACAGGCAGGCGGTCGGGCGCCTCCTTTGTGCGCTCTGTCCACTGCTCTCTCCCTTCGTAATCAGACACGGAAAACACCCGAGACCGTCGCGCGGCCCGGCGCCTGCTGCGTGGTCCG